TAGATGATTGGATTTAACCTATGGTTTAGCCACAAGACTATGATACAGCATGAGAGGGACAAGAAAACTGTGGGTATATGCAGGAATTATTAAGGAGGAACGTAGGAACACAAGAGAGATGAGAGTGAAAAGATGGTAGAATCAATGGCATAATTTTGATGAGGTGAAAAAATTGTTAGCATTAGGGACTAAAGAAAGTGAGCAGGAAGGACTGGATAGAAAGTCAAATAGTCAATGCATGAAACTAAATTCTGAAGTGGTTCCAGATACTAGTAATGATGAGTCCTGAGAGTAACTATGGGAGGGAGTAGCTGAAGCAGGGTGGAACCAAGATCACTGGGGACAGGGGGAGAAAAATAAAGCCACTGAGAGGCTAGGATGTGTGCACCAGGCAAAGAACATAAAATGTATTTTCAGCTGGGTAATCAATATTTAAAAGTCATTTCTCCAATGTCTTTTAACCTTCAGTGCCCATATGAATCACTTGGAGATCCTGTTAAAATGCAAATTATGATTCAGTAAGTTCTTTAACAAGCTCCCACACGATACTGATGCTGCTGCTGGTCCAGTGCAACAGCACACGAACCATCTTTTGAGGAGCAAGGCTCTAGTCTGAACCTTCTGAATTGTGTCCATGAAGCTATTTATAAACTGCTTCTATGATTCATTTCTTAACAATTCTCACTGAGAGAGATAGTCAAAGGTTAAAGAATATTTGTACACAGCCTTTTAAAAACTTTCATGGTCTTTTATTTTCTCTTTTCTATCATTTAATACCTTCTTAGTCACAAACCAACCTTAAATTTTTCCACCCTCATTTATTCATCCAGCAAAGGCAAGTATGCAGCAGAGTAAAGATATTGTCTTACTACTTATTTTACCAAAAATTCTAATGTTCTTTTTAAAAATATGTGACAATAACTGCTAACTTTTTTTATGTCTGAAAAATATATTGCTGTGATGGGTGTCAAAAATGTTAAGGAGGTCTTGGGCCAATGAAGGCAAAAACATGTCTTAACAATACTGCTTCTACTGGTCTGTATTTAGCTTGACTGAAGGAATGGTGGTACTGAATACCCTTTTAATGTATGTATGCAACTCTACATAAGTTGTAGTGGCAAGAAGCACCCCTTTACTCTTCCTCTTCCAGAGTTGGCTTTTACTTTAAAAAATGACTTTCAGTGAAAACAATGTAATTATCATTATCAACAATGAACATTAAGCACCTATCAGCATTCTGAGAACAGTTTTATGATCCTAAATGTTCTGTTTGCTTCAGATAATTTTTTAAAGTATCATTACCTCAAATATCCTGAAACATCTTAAATATTGAGATTCTGCAGAGTGAATGTATAGAGTGCATTTATGTTCACTTTATAGGATCTAAAATAAGATTTCAACTTAAAAAAATAGGTCATGATAGCTACCATCTTCGTTCTGTAATAACAGACTGTTGCTAAAGCCATGGTTGGACTATGACCCCAACAAAAAACAATCCATTTTATGAATGTGTACGGGGTGTAATTTCCCTTAACACACAGCAGGTAAAAAGACGGAACTTCCTACATACATCCTCCGTAAAATTTACTATGCCTTTTTAGGAGGACTGATCCTGATTATGAATAATGAATTTCTAACGCATGAGCTACTAGGAATCCATATTGGTGCTGAGCATTATATTGAAACTGTGCCTATACAGTAGTTGTTCCTTTCCTGTTAACAATGTTTCTCCATAAGTGTGGGTATATAAATCTTACTTCCTTTAAATGGGAGCTATAGTTTGGGATATGGACAGTTGTTCAGAAAAGAACTGTAATAAGCAAATATGCCAAGCAATGGCATCCTCTGAGAAGAGAAAGACTGAGGGTATGAAAAAGTACTAAGTGTTCAGGCAGGAGCAAGCAGCAAAGACTTGATGGCACATAGTGTCTACACGTGTTAGAGAAAAGTAGGAGAGAAAGCAAGAGAGGCAGACTGAGAAGAATCATGAGCTCAGGAGTCAATGGTTTATAAACAGAGTAGAGAATTGATCATTACAGGGGACAAAAGATAAGGACATGGTGACTAGCTAGAATAGCTAGGTGTGAGGGAATTCTGGTGGTGGCTATGTATGACTACTCACCCAGATTGCTCCTACGACTACCAATTTGGAAACCATGTTGTATAAAAGTGATTCTGGGCCCATGAAGAGAGCGGACAGAACAAGAGATAAGTGGGCCTGAACCAAATTGAGCCAATGAACTCTCTTGCCTAGGAAACTTAGAACTGAGTTAAAGAGAATCTCTGCTCTCCTGAATGGTATATGAACTTTGGAGCTATTGACAACGGCCATTTCCCATCATGGAGATAGGGAAATCAAAAACAATGGTCAAAAGGGAGAGAGAAAAATGAAACCGGCATGAGAAGAGAATGGGAGACAATGAGGGAAGGATGGAAGACTGAGAAACAGAATTTCCTGTGTTCCCTCCTTAAAAGCTCTGAGCTCTGGTTCCAGGCTGACCCAGCTGGCTCCCTGCCCTCATGTTGAGACATACCTGAATATTAAAATAATAAATTGCCCTTTTGTTTAAACCCATCTAGGTAAATTTTTGTCATTTACAACCAACTGTAAAAGTTAGAAAAAAAATGGTATGCCAGTCAGTGCAACCAGAAAAACAGAAACTACACTTTAAGTACATAGGGTATAGGGAATTTAATGTAGGGACTTGGTTATAGTAAACAAAGAGCCCCCCAAAACCCAAAGAAGAGATGGGGAATAAGCCCAGAGATTACAAACAGCAGGAAGCTGCTACCACCCCTAGGCTAGAAAGACAAGAGGGAAAAAGGTTATCAGAGCTCAGGAACCAGACCACTTGGGCCTGCCAGGCAGGGGCTGGAGCCAGAGGAATGGAGAACACACAGTCAACCCAAGGAGAAAAAGACCCTTGGTTTTTCTTCTCTTTCAGCCTCCTATTTCCCGGTGCCTGCCATTAGCAAACCTAGTGTGAAGCCAGCTGGCAGTTTATACGAGTTATAGTTTCCCAAACAACTCTCGGGTCTACTCCTTTATCTCTCCCCACAAGTACAGCCTATGGCAGAGGTGTCCAATCTTCTGGCTTCTCTGGGCAACACTGGAAGAAGAATAACTGTCTTGGGCCACACATAAAATATACTAACACTGACAGGTGATGAGCCAAAAAAAAAAAAAAAAAAGCAAAAAAATCTTATAGTGTTTTAAGAAAATATATGAATCTGTGTTGGGCCTCATTCAAAACTGTCCTGGGCTACATGCAGGTCATGGGTTGGACAAGCTTGGCCTATGTTAACTTCTGACAGCAGGCTCAGGTCCATCTTCTCCACTTGGTGTGCCATACTAACTTAGAACTTTATACATAAGAGTCAAAGAAAAGGAAGAGCACTGTTGTTTAGTATCCTATACTAAAAACAACTGTTTTGCTAGTTATCTTAGAACTGAGTCATGCCTAAAGTTGGCTAGTTTCAAACCTATTAAGCAAAGAGCAAATTTGCCCCTATAGGAGGTGGGGAAGAGAGTTCATTAAACAGGCCAGTGCAGTGGCTCACACCTGTAATCCCAGCACTTTGGGAGGCTGAGGCTGGCAGAATGCCTGAGCCCAGGAGTTTGAAACCAGCTTGGGCAACAAGGCAAAACCCTGACTCTACCAAAACACGAAAAATTAGCCAGGCGTGGTAGCGCATGCCTGTAGTCCTAGCTACCTGGGAGGTTGAGGTGGGAACATCACTGGAGCCAGGGATCTGGGGGCTGCAGTGAGCTGTGATTGCATCACTGCACTCCAGCCTAGTCTACAAAATGAGACCCTGTCTCAAAAAATAAAACAAAATGTTACAGTTATTAGGACCAGCATGAGTTACCTGTTTCACCCATCATTATTGTATACACTTAAAACTATCAAAATTAAAATAGAATATGGATAGTCTTAATGACAGTAGTTGCTAACAAAAGATTTCAATATATCCACAAAGTATTATACCTGTAGCTTAGTTGAAAACTATTAGTTAATAATGTTATTCATGAGCTCTATCTTTGATTTGGTATTTTAAAAACACACAGAACATAAGGATCAACATGCTATAAATGGTAAATTAATAATGTCAACAGAAAATGAGCAGTCAGTAGCTAAAAAGATTCATTAAGCAGTTCGTTGTAAAGAATGACTAGATTTCCAATGATCTGTTTCTTCATATTTGACTAATTTACAGTTAATGGGCTACAGCCACAAAAGAATAATCCAGCTAGATTCTTCAGCTTTCAGAATATAAAATATAATTTTTAAACAAATAAAAATCCTAAATAGTAAGATTACCTAAAGTTTTTAGCTTTTCACTCATCTTAACTTTTTCCTTTGCATATTAATAAAATGGAAAATCATTATTTTAAATAATAACAGCTAATATTTGTTGACTATTTCTTACCAGTAACTATTTCATTTACTCTTTATAACTGAGGAAAATACAAAATGCCCAGTGGTACTTTTTCTCAGTTAATAATTATAGGAAAGTCTAAAGCACTTTCACATTGCCAGGCACTTTAATGCTTTACATTTACTAACTCACTGCTCACAGTAACTTCATGTGATTGGTACTACTACTATTCTCATTGAACAAAAAGAGAAACTGAGACATGAAACAGGGAAGTGACTTGCATAGCAAGTTAGTAGCAGAGACTTGATTCAACTTCCAGCAAGCTGAGTCAAAGTTTCTGCTCTTACCTTGCTTGGATACTGTCTCTTAATTGTTTCATCGTTAATTACAATTGAAATCTTAAAAACTACTGTCTTTCAGCATGCTAACCAGTTCTACAAAGCTGGGTAATATTTATTTTTACTACACATATTTTTTAAAAGTGACAGAGACAAAACTGCATAACAACAAATCCAGTTTCACGGATTTTAGCATCATCACTAGTAGAATGGACCTTCTAGCATTTTCCATTTAAACTACCCAAAACTTTTAATGCTTCTCATCCCTTTTATAAAACTTACCAATAGTAAGGTCATGCACTGGCTGAAACCTCTTGTCTGTAAACTGTAGCAATAAGCATGATTTACCAACACCTGAAAGTTAAACAAAAAATAAATAAGAGACAAAATTCACAGAAATTAAGACACTTTACAAAAAGGATATGGAAAAGAGGCAGCCAGGGCTTCTGGTGCATTGTGAATAATCTACCATGATTTCCTCAGTACTCTAATTTCTTGCAAAATAAGAAGACTAATGATTTAGGTGGAAGCTATAAACCAATCTAAAGTACATTTTCTTTCTCACAGTCTAAAGTTCATTTCTTACAATCTAAAGTACATTTCTTTCTTATACATTCAATATTTCAATGTGGAAACTAAATGTGGCAGCTAAACTCGTAGACAACAACTAACCAGGTCCTCCTGGTAGCCTCTACTACGGTAGTGTTTTTGTGCACTTTTGTTCTTTGTGTAACAGTGAAAATATTTAAAGCATAGTAATAGTTCATTTTATCATACTCCCCTATGAACAAACAAATAAATAAGCTAGCAATAAGTGTCTGAGATCTACTTTTCTGGGAAAAGTTCCTTGCTCTGTTTTCTCGCTAATTCATTTCACGAGCAAATGGAATCTGAATTGCATTCCTTCACTCTATTAAAATTGACCCCATTAAGGTCATGAATATAACTTCCACATTTCTAAATTCAAAGGAAAATTTTCTATATTCATCCTACTTGTCCTCTAAGGAAAACTGGATACTGAATACCATACCCCCTTCTTACTCATTTTCAAGTCCTCTAAGAAACACTTCCTCATCCTCATGCTAGACAAAGGCTGCTTAATTGATAGCATCCTGCACTTCTACAAAATACTAAAAGCAGTCACCATTCATTCATTCATTCATTCACTCACTCACTTACTCAAAGTCTTTACTGAAAGCTAAGTATCACTACACTAGGACTTTAAAATACAGTAATGTAGAAAACCAACATGGTTCCTGTGTATGGAGTTACAGTCTAGTTACAGGTAGAGAAATTAAACAAAATGAATACCGAAATAATATACTGTATATGAATAATTTGAAATAATTATAATGACTGATCTGAAAGAGAATAAAGTGCTATGAGAAAGGGTAACAAACTTAGTGCAGTGGCTCAAGCCTGTAATCCCAGCATTTTGGGAGGCCAAGGTAGGCCTTAAGCCCAGGAGTTCAAGAGCAGCCTGGGCAACAGAGGGAGACAGTCTTTTAAAACAAAAAAAGACCAAAAAAAAAAAAAAAAAAGATGGGTGTGGTGGTGCGCATGTGTAGTTTCAGTTACTCGAAAGGCTGAAGTGGGAGGATAGTCTCAGACCAGGAGTTGAAGGCTGCTATGATCACACCACTGCCCTCCAGGGTAGGTAACAGAGTGAGACTCTGTCTCAAAAAACAAAAAAATGATACTTAATTTAGACAAAAGGAATGAAGAAAATCTTTTTTGTTTTTTGGAGATGGAGTTTTGCTCTTTCACTCAGGCTGGAATGCAGTGGCATGATCTCAGCTCACTGCAACCTCTGCCTCCCAAGTTCAAGCAATTCTCCTGCCTCAGCCTCCCAAGTAGCTGGCATTACAGGCACACACCCCCAAGCCTGATTAACTTTTGTTATCTTTAGTAGAGACAGGTTTCACTATGTTGGTCAGGCTGGTCTCAAACTCCTGACCTCAGGTGATCCATCCCCCTTGGCGTCCCAAAGTGCTGGGATTACAGGTGTGAGCCACCATGCCTGGCTGGGATAGAGAAAACCTTTCTGAAGAAATGACAGTGAAAAGAAACTGGAATTTCAAAACATGTGATCTTTAGTTTTCTTCTCTGTTGTATTACAAAAGGCCCAAAGTCCAACTCATTTTATCCAATTTTTAACTCTTTTGAACAGACTTTCAGGTGTAGGACAGAAGACAAAAGAACAGTGTTTTTTTAAGTTAAAAGAGTTAGTTATCAAGTACACCAAAAGAATTTACTCTATATCCAAAACCTAGCATGAAAGAATATTATCTTTTAAAAGATGTGAAAGTTCAAAATAGGTGAGCAATTACTTAACATCCCCAATTTTTTCATGTGGTATAGAAAAAATATATATAGTTAGAAATCACAAGTTTTCTTGCGGGACTTCAAGAATCATCTAAGAGTTTGGTAATCATTTAAGTGATAGAAGAACCAGAAAACCCTTTCCCACCTCACAAGAGAATATGTATCACTCTAGTAATACTAATCTTATTCTGACTAAGTGCTGGTTAAATACAGAAAATGCTTATTTCTTTGGTTCCTCGTTTTCAGGATTCCATATTCCAGCTCAGGCTGGCCACAAACTCTTGACCTCAAGAGATCCTACCACCTTAGACTCTCAAGGAGCTGGGACTATAGGTTATGTGTCACTACACCTACACCTAAGTTTCTGTGTTCTTAAAAAATTTTTTTTTAATTTTAATTGACACATAATTGTACTTATTTATGAGACAGTGATATTTCCATACATGTATACAATGTGTAATGATCGATCAGGGTAATCAGAGTATCTGTTCACCTCAAGCATTCATCATTTTTTAATGTACGTTGGTAACATTCAAAAATCCTCTCTTACAGCTATTTGAAAATATACAAGAAGTTATTAATCATAGTCACCCTATAGTACTATAGAACAGGAGAACTTATTCCTGCTATAATTTTGTACCTGTTAACCTAACCACTCCTTATCCTCACCTTTCCCCTACCCTTCCCAGCCTCTAATACCCACAATTCTACTTTCTGCCTTTATGAGCTCAACTTTTTAAGCTATTACTTATTGTGGATATGAGAACATGCAGTATTTACTTTTCTATACCTGACTTATTTCACTTTACATAATGTCCTCCAGTCTCATCCATGTTGCCACAAATGACAGGATTTCATCCTTTTTTATGACGAATAGTATTCCATCGCGTATATTTACCACATTTTCATTATCCATTCATCTACTGGTGGACACTTAGGTTGATTCTACATCTTGGCTATTGTGAATAGTGCTGCAACAAACATGGGAGTGCAGATATTAACACTACTTTGATATAATGATTTATATTCCTTTGGATAAATACTCAGTAGTGGGATTACTGGATCATATGGTAGTTTTATTTTTAGTTCTTGGAGGAATCTTGATATTGTTTCTCTTAGCGACTATAATTTAAATTCCCACCAGCAGCATATAAGAATTCTCTTTTCTCTGAATCCTCACCAGCATGTTATTTTTTGTCTTTTTGATAACAGCCAGTCTAAGATGAGATGTTATCTCACTGTGGTTTTGGTTTGCATTTCCCTGATGATTAGTGATGTTGAGCATTTTTCATATACTTGATGGCCATTTGTGTGCCTTCTTTTGAGAAATGTCCATTCAGATCCTTCCCTCATTTTTAAATCATTTTTGTTTTTACTGTTGAGTTCCTTGTATATGCTAGATATGAATCCCTTGTAAGATAGTTTGCAAATATTTTATCCCATTCTAAAAGTTGTGTTTTCATTCTATTTCCTTTCCTGTGAAGGAGTTTAGTTTGATATAATCTCATTGGTCTATTTTTGCTTTTGTTGCCTTTTTGTTTGCTTCTTGTGCTTTTGAAGTCTTATCCATAATATCTTTGCCTGGATCAGTGTCCCGAAGCATTTTCCCAGCATTTTCTTCTAGTAGTTTTATAGTTTTGGGTCTAGTTTTGAAAGACCAAAGTATTTCACCCATTTTGAGCTGATTTTTGTATATGGTGAGAGACAGGGGTCTAATTTATTCCTGCACATGGCTATCTAGTTTTCCCAGCACAATTTATTGAAGATAAATATATTCATGCCCATAAACTATATCTATATAATGTATCAGCCTACAACCTCCTTGAAAATAATCTCTTCTGGCTTTGTCAGGCTACAACTATCTCTTTGATGTCTTAATTCTATGACAACCAACTCCTCTTCTTCCACGTAACCCTGAAAATACTGGAGGTCTTCCTTAACCCTCTGCACTCTACCTTTTGTTGTCACTTGAGAGCACGAATCCAGACCCGTGGCCTCAACCTATGTTCTTCTTTTTCTTTTTTTTCTTTTGAGATGGAGTCTCGTTCTGTCGCCCAGCCTGGAGTGCAGTGGCGCAATCTCAGGTCACTGCAACCTCCGCCTTCCGGGTTCAAGCAATTCTCCTGCCTCAGCCTCCTGAGTAGCTGGGACTACCGGCACACGCCGCCATGCCCAGCTAATTTTTTGTATTTTAGTAGAAACGGGGTTTCACCATGTTGCCAGGCTGGTCCTCAACCTACTTCTATAAATTAGTCAGTGATTATCAAATCCACCACCTTAACTTCACTCCAATTATTTCCAACTGCCTACTAAACATTTACACTTCAATACCTTCAGCTCCAAAACTCAGACTTCTGGAACCAATTTCATTCTTTTTCATTCTCTTATTCATCATCCTCCCAATCAACCTGTGATTCACCCTACCCATGACAGAAGAGACCAAAACACAGCTTCTCCTTCAGTATTTCCTAATCTCTGGAATTGTTTCCCAATGGATCATACTTAAAAGAAACTTGGAATCATCCTTAATTACTCCTCTTCTTTCATCATCCAGCTCTAGTGGTTCATCCATCTCATCAATTCTCTCCGAAAGTCTTCATAAATTCCATGCTCTGCCCTCCTCTGAATCATCAGTGCTCTAGTTCTGGTTCTCACTAAGAACCAGATCTTTCTTCCTTCAGCCTTTCTAATCTATTTTGTAAATCACTGTGAAAATGTTTGCTAAAATGCAGATACAGTTAACTCACTCTCATGTTACGCTGACTAAAATATAAAAATTCAAGATCTTCAAAATAGTACACAAAGTCCTTTTTGAGCTGAAAATTATTACTCTAAGAGATTAATACTAAGACAACACAGTCCAAAGACTCTATAGTTAGCAACAACAAACCATCTCTTGTCCCCTGAAATGATATCATATTTTTTTGCTGGTACCTTTTACAAAGGAACTTTTCACTTCCTGGCAAATTTAAATTCATGCTTTAAGACTTAACTCAAAGTTTTATATGTCCTCTTTGGTAGAACATTCT